CCTTTCACAGTTACTACTATTGAGCAAGGTATCACCTATACTGTACCTGTGCATTTCGTTTTTCTTGCCTAAATGTGGAACCTTACTATTTTCACTTGGTGCTCTCTGAGCTTGGTTGTTTTCTTGCAGACATTTCATTACCTAACAAGGTAACATCATCAGTGCTGGTCAAGATAATCAATCTGATGAGAGCGCCAAGGAGCCCTCATTGGTTGTCTACTGCTCCAACCTCAGCCCAATTGAATGCAGTGAGACCTCCAGTCCTCCCCCCCCCGCCCCCCTCATTCAGATCCCAATTGCTATCTCCATACCCCTGGGCTCAAATTCAACACGGAGTAAATTCCACAAAAATGTAAATTTTCTTACCATAAGTCCTGCAATCCTGCAAAACAAGAAAGAAAGGTAGAATTAGAGGAGAAACATTAAATCAAAGGCCTCTCTTTATAAAACAGAACATTCACAGAACAGTAAACAAGCTGTCTGAGGCCTCTTTAGGAGGCCTTGAGAGTGCGTATTGAGCGTGTATTGAAAATATTTACTGGGCTTCAGGCGGCCAATCCTTGCTGAGTCCGGAGGTGACAAGAGATAAAGGACCAACTTCTTCACACAACATCTAATATAATTTTGGGGACTTTCGTCACCACAAAGATACCATGGCTGCTGATCTTGAAGGTCATCTACATGGCTGTGTAAAATCTGCAATGCCATAGTATAAAAGCACCATTGCTGACATAACCTTCATGGGAGTTTCCATTCAGTTGAGAAGCATCGCACTAAGGGCTCTTCATAAATTCTTTTGAAAGACACCCAGATTCTCAGGACTTGAGCAAATATTAATTCTTCTAAGAACGAAGGGATTGGGGAGAATACTGCAGCTGCCCACATCCCCCGTGTAATTACATTACTTCATTTACCAATTCTGCAGTGATTTTAATATGGCCTAATCCAGGGGTCTCCAAACTTGGCAGCTTTAAGACTTGTGGACTTCAACTCCCAGAATTCTGGCTGGGGAATTTTGGGAGTTGAAGTCCACAAGACTTAAAGCTGCCAAGTTTGGAGACCCCTGGACTAGTCAAAAACGGATCCACCAGATGATCCTGCCTCCCCCCACCTACACGATCCTCTATTAGTCATTTGCAATAAAAGACAAAATGGAGATCAAGGATCGGAAAGTTAGCTTTCTTTCGATATTTCTCTCTGCGGTTGTTGACAGGTGATTCTTATCGCAGGAGATTGGCAATTCAGAAGTCGGCTTTTGCTCTCGTTTTGTTTCTCAGTGTGGGGAGATTTGGCTTCATGCATTTAGTATGCCCACAGATGTGGTTTTCTGTTCCTGCATGAGGGCAACCTCTGCTCTAACCAAGTGGATGCATAGAGAGAGAGACACACCTTCGATTGTGTAACACTTTGCCAGTAACAAATCACTGAAAAACATTTGAGCTGTGTGTTTTTGCTGCAGCAACATTACTCAATCAGTTCTGGGTACAAGGGGAAAGCTGGGGATTTAAAGCTGGGATAGGCAACCAGATACTTTCAAATTATTAAAATCTTACTTAGGAAACAAAGCTTTAGTCATAGAAAACTGGCTAAATTCAAATGATTTTTTTGTCCTTTGGTTTTTACACTACTCTATTAAGTTCCACCAAACACAGTTTTAAGGGAAAAAAACACCCTGTTTTGTTTTGGGACTTTATTTCCACATCCCCAGATAGCTTACTCAAAGCAAGGGAATGTGGGAAATGTAGTTCAAAAAAATCTATATGTCCCCAATTATAGGGCAACAAATACAGAGTAATCCTTGATTTATGATCACAATGGAGTTCAAAATTTATGTTGCTAAGTGAAACATTTGTTAAGTAAGTTTTGCCCCATTTTATGACCTTTCTTGACACAGCTGTTAAGTGAATCATTACAGTTGTTAAGTCAATAACCCTGTTGTTAAGTGAATCTAGCTTCCCCATTGGCTTATCAGAAGATCACAAAAGCTTGATCACATGACCGCTGGACCAGAGGTGGTATTCAGCCAGTTGGCACCGGTTCGGCTGAACCAGTAGCGGAAACCACGGGTGGGCCTGCCTACCCGCCTACCCGTCTCTATGCTGTCCTATTTAGGCACATTTTTGAGGCCAGGCGCATGCGCAGAAGACATGCGTGCACGATCAAAGTGCATGCATGGAAGGGGCAAAGCGAGTGGGTGCGCAGCGAACCGGTGGTAGCAAAATGTGAAACCCACCTCTGTGATGGATGCTACAACTGTCATAAACACATGCCAGTTGTCAGACATCCGAATTTTGATCATGTGACCAAGGGGATTCTGCAAATGCCTTAAAAGTGGAAAACAGCCATAAGTCACTTTTTTCAGTGCCAATGTAACTTTGAACGTTCACTAAATGAACTGATGTAAAGTCAAGGACAACCTGTACTTACTATGAAGAATAAATATCTTACAGCAGACAGTCAAGTTTTGTTTAAAATTGTCTCTGAGAGTTTGCAACACAGTGAGGAATAAAAAGCAAGCTTATCTCATCAACCATGGTAAAGACAAGGTGCCCTTGATTTCCTCCTCCCCCCCAATACTGTATCCATACCAGTCAATCATCATCATTTCCCTCTTCCCTTCCCATCACTATTTCCTTTTATGCCATGTCATTTATATTGTAAAAAGGATGGCAGTGATTATGATGATTGACGCATATAGCCCCTTAGGAGTTTTTTTTTCAGTCGAGGAGGAAAGGGGTGTGAAATACTTGATAATTATTTTTGTTAATCAATAAATGAAAACTGCTGGGGGTTTTTTAGCATGGAAAGTAAGGTGGAGGAAAAAGTTTATTCTGTTAAGGGTCCGGTTGTGGTATTAATGTTTAGGGCACAAATATTTGGCTGGAAGTAAGGGTTAGCTGCTGGAGGTTCACAGGGGTTCGGGAGAACCTCTAGCTAAGATTCTGTGCAGTTCGGAGACCCCCCAAATCCCACTCCTGGCTGGCCCCACCCATCCCTCCCCTCCCAGGAGTCTCCACACAGCCCATTTTGGATACATGTAAGTTTAGGGCCCGTGTGGAGGCCCAAGGAGGGTGAAAAACAGGCATACCAGAAGATTGGGCCTTCAGAGGGCATCTGGAGCTTGAGGAGGGCAAAAATGTCCCACCCATAGTGCAGGAGGCCACACCCATCATGCTCCACCCAGCAACTGGACAGAGAACCCCTTGCTAAAATTTTTGAATCCCACCTCTGGCTGGAAGACAAAATATCAGGAGGAAAACATGGAAACCAGACCCCTGTGTAGAATTGTGGCAAAAGAGCACGGAGGTAATATTGAGAATTTACCCTACATTAATAGCTAATTTAGCTCAAGTGAGTACAAATTCACTATTATTACATTACATTAATCCATTTTCAGTAGCAATACCTACATCAAAATAAACACAAAGTCTTTGAAGCCTTAAACCTGTTATGGAGTGGGGTATGCTATTATATAAGCAAGTAAAGTAGAGAATGGGCAGAAAGTCAACCGTTTGTTTCTCTTTGCTACAGAGAGTGCCAACTGAAAATTGTCACCTGTCATATTTAAGTAGTCACAAAGTGATTAAAGAGCTTTGCAAAGGAGGACAAAATGCTAAACTTCTGGGTGAGATTAACAGAATAAACAGCCTTAATGGGGCAAAAGTGTGTAGCTACCAAGGAGAAGGAGAAAGAGGAGGAGGAAGAGAGGGTGGGAGAGGAAGCAGGGAAGAGGAATAGGTAGTAGAAGAAGAGATGGAGAAGGAGGAGAAGAAAAAGGAGGAGGAAGAGGAAAAGGAGGGGAAGACAGGTAGAATATAAAGTTATCCCCCCTCCCCAAAAGGAATTGTATTTTGGGAAGAAAAACAGATCTTGCATTTTTTTGCACAACACAGGAAAACCAACCAATGGAAAGCTTAACCCACAACCCCGAGGATGACTGCATCTGCTAAATATCTCCCAACACTCAACTATTTTTAAATAGATGCTCTATATGCACCATCCCTTAACTTATCTGCAAACTAAACAGAAGGGATACTAGAAAAAAAACTACTTCTGTTAATAAATGTACTACTGACACAAGTTAGAAGTTATCTGCTTCAGTTGATGCAGGAGTTGATATTTTTCTTAAGCCAATGGCAGTTTAGTCCTCTACTCCAGTGCTATCCCATCATGAAGTTCTAACAGTTTTGAAGTTTGCCCCTCCATCATTTCCCTCACCTTCTCTATGTTCTTCTCTACTCTTTAGTGAAACTTCATAAGTTGTAGAAAATCCTTGTTGACTTTATTACAGGCTCTGAAAGTGATGAAGTTAGGAGAACAGGCTTCTCAATTCTCATTGATCAATTCCAGTTACCTATTTCTTTTAAGACTTTTTCTTTTGGGGTGTCCCTTCCTTCCTCCTTTTTGAATGAAAGTTGGACCATAAGAAAGGCTGAGTGCCAAAGAATTGAGGCCTTTGAACTATGGTGCTGGAGAAGACTTCTGCGAGTCCCTTGGACTGCAAAACGATCAAACCGCTCAGTCTTAGAGGAATTCAACCCTGACTGCTCTTTAGAAGGCCAGATCCTGAAGATGAAACTTAAATACTTTGGCCACCTAATGAGAAGAAAGGACTCACTGG